CAACGAAGGTTGGTGACAGTTTGCAGATTGACAGGCAGTTTCATCGGATGTTATGAGTAGTACTAAAACATGGAATGACCTAAAACCACCTAAAACCACCTACAACCATCTACAACCATCTACAACCACCTCAAAAATTTCAACAACGACCTAAAACCACCTCAAAAACATCTACAGCCTCTCGCAAACTGTCTAAAACCATCTAAAACAAGGCATAAATGTCTTAAATAAGGCGAAACGACAACACGTCACGTACATGAAATACGAGAATCGTATCCACCTCCCCCTGAAATCTTACTCTCCCTGGTCGCATGTATAATCAACTATCACACGAAATGAAATGCGAGAGCATGCCAATTATATTTTTTATTACCTCAGTAGTAAAAGACCTACAGAACTTTAGTAGCAGATGTTTTGGCTCAGTTTCATTTGATTACGTAATGGTCCAAGGTGGTGTTTTTCTCCATTTATAATCTCAGGAATGGAAATGTAATCGGAGCAAAACGTGAGTCGCTATTGCGTAAGTGGCACCACTCGTACAACTGCATACTGTATGAATACCAGCACGATGACGTTCGTGCCAAAGGAAGATTCCAAATGTACGCACAGTTCGCTTGAAATATTTCTAATGATCATTCTTACTCATACTTTTTCTAGACGTGAGCCAAAACGTCTGCTGGTACCCAGGGTTGAAAAAGCCAAGTCAAGTCAGTCTTGACTACGAGTTTGTTATTTTACTTTATTATTTTTTGTAACTTGATAGTTCATTTGTAAATTTATTTAGGTCTTTTACAACTGAGGTAATAAAAAATATAATTGGCATGCTCTCGCATTTCATTTCGTGAGATGGTTGATTATGCATGGGACCAGGGAGAGTGGTTTTAGGTCGTTCCATGTTTTGGTACTTACCCGTATAAATACGAAGAGCGACAAGATAACCAAAGAAAAATGGTCTTTGAATCTTTCTTCTACGGCAAATGAGGTTAGAGCATTTGGAAACGTGTACCCATGTACATTTTCCGGCCTCATATGGGTTGAATCATATTAAAGTAGGTGCGTGACTCGCGACTGGAAAGTTGACCGCGAAAGGTCATATAACTGCATTTTAACGGACTTTGAAAAGCTTTCTTTTCGCTCTCAATCATTTGCCCAAAGAAATTTTTATAGTAATATTGAGAACATCTTTTCGTAATTCTACCGCCCAAAGCTTAATCCATTTGAAGGTTTAGCACATGCTGAAAATTAACTTTACTCACAAAGTACTTTAACTGAAGAGAAATGTATGCTTTCGAAATTAAATTATTTTACACGCAAAGAGGAACGCAGTGTTTACAAAAATCGTTTTGTGAGGTCTTATGAGGTTGAAAAAGAAGATTTGAATGTTAAAAAGACGAGATTGGGATTCGTTTTTGAATGCGAAGCCCTCAAACTTGTGCAATAATTTGCAGCTAAAATGACTATTTTAACGAAATTTTTTTATTTGTATTTTTCTCTGAAATAAAAAGACATTTTGCCAAAAAAAGTATCCTGTGATTTTAGTTATAGTCTAGCCTATCTAATATTAAAATAAGAGAGAAATCGAATTTTTCACCCTTGCCGCGAAATTTAGAATTTGTCTGACTTTTACAGACAAGCGCTCTTAAACTCTATTTCAATTTAGACTGGCATTTGCACTTTATTGAGAGATAACTGAGAAGCCATGTACACAATAACATTACGAGAACATTAGTGTGTATGAACTTTAGCTGCTGCAGTAAGTCTGTGTTCTGTATTTGGTGGACTGGGACAGAACCTTGGTGGGATATGCCTTGGTAGGAAATGGCTCCACGGAGGTGCGTCCACCCTGAGCATTTGTGGAGGGTCGCATGATCGCATTCGCCACCTCCCTTGTGCTGGTGACGCGTCGTACCTCTTTTAAGAAACGAAGAAACCCTTTTAGTCGCCCTTTTATGT